TCAAAGTAAAGGGGTAGAAAATGACACTCCCAGCAAATGGCATCCAGGGAAAAGTGGGTGTAGCTGTACTTATATCTGACTATTTATTGGGACACAAAACTAGCCTCAACAAATTTAACAAGGCTGAAACCATACCAAGCATATTCTCTAACTATAATGCTTTGAAATTAGAAATCAACTGCAAAAAGAAAACAAATGCAGATTAAACAGCATGCTACTAAACAATGACTGTGTCAAAGAAGAAATAAAGAAAGAGATCAAAAGATACATAGAGAAACATGAGAATGATAATACAACTCTTCAAAATTTTGGGGCTACAGCAAAAGTGGTAATAAGAGGGAAGTTTCTATTTACAGGCCTACCTCAAAACTCAAGAAAAATCTCAAATAACTAATCTAACATTTGACTTTGACTAACTAGAAAAAGAAGAACAAACAAAGCCCAAACTCAGCAGAAGGAAGAAAACAATGAAAATCAGAGCAGAACTAAATGAAACAGAGAACAAAAAGACAACAGAAAAATTAATGAAACAAAGAGCTGTTTCTTTGAAAAGATTAATAAAATTGGCAAACCTCTGGCTAGATTCACTAAGGAAAAAAGAGAAAAGACTCAAACAGAAGCAGAAGTAAAGAAGAAGTTACAACAGTTACCATGCAAATACAGAAGACTATAAAGAATTCTATAAAAGGCTGTACCCACCAAATTTGATAACCTAGAAAATATAGACCAGTTCTTAGAAATATACTGAGTTGGCCTAAAAGTTTGTATCGTTTTTCTGTAAAATAAAAGACACATTTTTCATTTTCACCAGTAACTTTATTGATTTGGATATTTTGAGAATATGGGTTATCTCCCATTATTGGCTGTCTAGTGGGTAGAGGTCAGGGGTGCTGCTAAATGCCTTCAAATGCATAAGACAGTCCCACAGCAAGGAATAATTTGCCAAATGAGTAAATAGTAACAAGAAAATTCGCAAACCACTTTTGACACATTTGATCAGTCACAGCACCTTCTTCACACACTGTACAAATCTTTTTTTGAGTTTCAGTTGTGTTTTTACCTTTCTTGAAATAATGAAGCGTAATATGCTGAAAATGCTGCACATCTTCTTTCATCTTTAATATTAAAATGGCTGCATAAAAATTCACCAATTTTGATGTTTTTTGGTAAATGCACACTGATATGACAGCTGTCACTACACAATCTAACACAATTGTTTCAAATGAAGTTAAAGACAACTAAGCACTAATAGAGCCATCATATGGAAAAAACTAAAAGATCTTTTTGGCCAACCCACTATAACCTTCTTATACTGAATCATGAAGAACTGGAAAATCTAAATAGACTGGCCAACAGAAAATTCAGTCATCAAAAACCTCCCCAAAAATAAAAGTCCACGACCAGATGGCTTCACTAGTGAATTTTACCAAACATTCAAAGAAGATTTAATGCCTATTCTTTTCAGCTCTTTCAATAAATTGAAGAACAGACAATACTTTTTACTCATTCTACAAGCCAGAATTACCCTGATACCAAAACTTGGCAAGTACGACACACACAAAAAGAAAATTACAGACCAATATCTCTTCTGAATATAGATGCAAAAATTCTCAACAAAATATTAGCAAACTGGTTTCAACAATATATTAAAAAGATAAGATCAAGTGGGGTTCATTCCAGGGGTGCAAGGATGGTTTAACATGTAAATTGGTCAATGTGATACACCACATTAAAAAAATAAAAGATAAAAATTATACGATCATATTCAATAGGTGCAAAAAAGACATTTCACAGGATATAACATCCATTTGTGAATAAAATACTTAAAAATGGGTACAGAAGCATGCCTCAACATCATAAAAACTGTATATGACAAATCCACAACTAAAATTATACTCCTAGCTACAGCAATCAGACGAGAAAAAGAAATAATAGGAATCCAAATTGTAAAGGAGGAAGTAAAACTATTTGTAGACAACATGGTGCTATGTATAGGAAACCCTAAAGACTCCACCAAAATACTATTAGAACTAATACATGAATTCAGTAAAGTTGAAGGATATAGAATCAACATACAGAAATCTATTGTGACTCTATACACCAACAACAGAAGATGAGAAGGAGAAATTAAGAAAATAATCCCATTTACAATTGCATCAAAAGCATAAACTATCTAGGAATAAGTTTAACCAAAGAGGTGAAAGACCTCAATTCTGAAAACTATTCAACAATGAAGATATTAAAGAAGATATGAACAAACAGAAGAATATATTGTACCATGTTCATGGATTAGAAGGATCATTATTGTTAAAATGTCCTTACTGGCTAAAACAATATACAGATTCAATGCATTTCCTGTTAACATACCAATGGCATTCTTCTCAGAACCCGAGCAACAAATCAGAAAATTTGTATGAAACCACAAAATACCCTGAATAGCCAAAGAAACTGTAAGAAAGAACAAAGTGAGAGGTATCGCATGCCTGACTTTAAACTATACTAAAAAGCTACTATAATCAAAACAGTATGGTACTGGCAAAAAGAAAAAAAAGGGGGTAATTATCTTCTGAAGGGCCGGCCCCTTGTAGTAAGAGCTTCTCCTGAGAGGTGAGTGTTCTAGGAACCCATCTGTATCAGCCTACAAGCTGCTGCTGTTATGAGAGGCTGTGATCAGCCTCAGTGAATTTTTTTTGAAGACTGTTTCAAAGCATTTGCTCATTTCATGGTGGGTGACTTAAGAGCACACCTGACCATACCACGCAGAGTGTTCAGTAGTTTTTGACCAAAAACGGCATGACCCCCCTGCTCCACCCTCCATATTCACCATATCTTTCCCTGAGCAACTTTTTGTTTCCCTCCAAGGGGAATGTTTTGCCAATGTGGAAGAGGTGAAACAAAAAATGGCAGAAGCACTGAAAGGCATCAAAATTGATGAATTCAAAACCTGTTTTGAGCAGTGGGAAAAAAGTCTCAATAGGTGTACTGCATCAAATGAAAAGTATTTTGAAGGTGACTGAAGTTTAAACACACAAGAATAAGTACAGTTTTTTATAAATAAATTCCGATTTTAGGGGGGGCGTCAACGGAATAAAGAGCCCAGAAATAAAACCTCACTTATGTGGTCAACTAATCTACAACAAAGATGGAAAGAATATACAATGAGGGTAAAGATAGTCTCTTCAATGAGTAACGTTGGGAAAACTTAACAATGCAAAAAAAGAAAAAAAGAAAAAAGAAATTGGACCAACTTCCTTACATCATGTACAAAAATAAAGTCAAAATGGATTAGACTTAAATGTAAAACCCAAAACCATAAAATTCCTAGAAGAAAACACAGGCAGTAAATTCTTTAACATTGATCTTAGCGAAACCTCTTTGGATATGCCTCCTTGGGCAAGATAAACAAGAAAAAATAAATGTGGATATGTCTCTTTGGGCAAGGTAAACAAAAGAAATAAATGGGACTACTTTAAAATAATTTTTTGCACAGTGAAAGAAACCATCAACAAAATGAAAAGAACCTACTTTTTGAGTGGGAGATGATATTCACAAATGATACATCTGATAAGTGGTTAATTTCCAAAATATATAAGGAACTCACACAACTTAATGTCAAAAAAGACCAACAATCCAATGAAAAAGTGGGCAGTGGCCCTGACCAGTGTGGCTCACTTGGCTGGGTGTCATCCTGCAAAGTGAAAGATCATCGGTTCATTCCCAGTCAGGGCACATGCCTAGGTTGTGAGTCTGGCCCCAGCTGGGGTGTGTATGAGAGGCAACTGATCAATGTGTCTCTCTCACATCAACGTTTCTCTCCCTTTTTTTCTCCTTCATTCCCCTTCCTCAAAAAAGAAGTAAAATCTTTTTAAAAAAGGGCAGCGAATCTAAGAGACTTTTCTCCAAAGAGGACATACAGATGGCCCACAGACATAAGAAAAAATGCACAGCATCACTAATTATCAGGGTAATGCAAATCAAAATCACAATGAGATATCATTTCATACCAGTCAGAACGGCTATCATCAAAAAATCAAATAATGAGGATGTGGAGAAAAAGGAACCCTTGTACACTTTTGGTGGGACTGTAAATCAGTATAGCTACTATAGAAAACTGTATGGAGATTCTTCAAAAAGTTAAAAGTATAGCTGCTATATGACGTTGCTGGGCAATTCCATTTCTGGGCATTTATCTGAATAAAATCAAAACACTAATTTGAAAAGATATGTGCACTCCTATGTTCACTGCAGCATTAATTACAATAGCCATGATATGGAAGCAACATCAGTGTCCATTGATAAGTGAATGGATAAAGAAGTTTATATATATGTGTGTGTGTGTGTGTGTGTGTGTGTGTATTCACACACGTGCATACGTACACACACACATGCACGCACACAATGGAACATTATGCAGCAATAAAAAAGAATGAAATCTTGCCTTGGCTGGTGTGGCTCAGTGGATTGAGTGCTAGACTGCTAAGCAAAGGGTCACCAGTTCGATTCCCAGTCAGGGCACATGCCTCGGTTGTGGGCCAGGTCCCCAGTGGGGGGCATGTGAGAGGCAACCACACATTTGATGTTTTTCTTTCCCTCCCTTCCCCTCTCTCTAAAAAATAAATAAAATCTTTAAAAAAATAATTAGACAAATGTATTTGAAAAATAAAAAAATAAAAAAATAAAGAACAGATATATAAGGAATAAAAAAAATAAATGATTAAAGAAAGAATGAAATCTTACTGTTTACAACAACATGGATGGATGTAGGTGGTATTATGCTAAGTAAAATAAGTCACACAGAAAAAGACAAATACCATATGATTGTACTTATATGTGATACCTAAAAAACCAAAACAAATCAAACAGGCCCATAGATATAGAGAACAAACTGATGATACCAAAAGGGAGAAGTTGAGGGGCTGGGTGAAAAAAACAAACAACCAATATGTGGAGGTTCCTGTTGAATGAGATTTTCTCCACATAACACATTCAAAAAGTACATATTTTTATCAGAATATTTTATTTCAAGAGTTAACATCTTTTTCCAAAAAGTAAATACAATATAGTTATTTCCCTGAGTATAAAGAATTAACCCTATAAGACAATTACAAAATTAAGCAATTAGAGGTACATAGTTTTTTGCATTCAATTATACTTACATTACAAATTTATTCTTAAAAACCTCATGTATTTTGGAACTTTAATGATTAAAAAAACAGTTCATTTTGCACCTGTGATATTAAGGTGTTTCTGATCTGTCTTTATCAAATTCCAGAGCAATCTTTAAAGCAGTGCTATTGAGTCCAACAGACTGCATGTTACATATGATAGAAACAACTATTCCTCTTGGAGGAACCTTGTTATATAGAGATTCTGCATCCAGTTCTTCAGGAAGGATCAGCAGGACACTACTGGCACCCACTGCACCTCCAGTATGGGAGGCATAATGACGCTGCTTCCTACAAGAACCATATGTTTGCTTCTTTTCCACAACACCCCATGCCATTGCATATTTACCCTCTTTATCCCAAGACATTTCTGTGTTAGGGACTGGTGTCCAAATCATAACCATTGTTTCTGGTTTGAGATATCCAGGTAAAAGATTTTCATTTGAGTTCTTAAACAGCCCGACTTGGTAACCATACAACATCGCATTCCCAAATTTCAGAAGGTCACCCACTGTTGACAGAAATCCACCACCAGCCCATTTATAGGAGTTATCCACGTAAGGTGTGTTGACAAGACGTCTCTTTTTATTGTAAACATAAAATCTAAAATAAAATAAAATAAGAATGGTCATTAAAAATTTAATAGTCTACTATTGACTTCATATATGAAAATGAATAGGAAAGTGTACATGAGACAGATTGAATTTCAAAGTAGTAATCATACATTCTCAGGAACTAACCACTAATTTTCAGTATGATTCAAATCTTAACTTTACATATAACTAAGTAAGCTAGTCTAATTACTTTGTGAATTAATACATCGAAGTTAAATCGTTTTTTCCTGCTCATGCTGAGTGTATAAAACTTCCAATAATTGCAAAAATTTAATGATTACGACTACACATGATATATTTGCTCCATGCATATGCAGAAACACCTATGGTTTGGTAAATATTCCTTAGGCATAGAGAATTATCTCCCATATGTAAATTTTATAAGTATTGGGTTGGCCAAAAAGTTCATGTGTTTTTCCCTGTAAGATGGCTCTAATAGTGCATAGTAGTCCTTACCTTCATTCAAAACAATTTTGTTAGATTATATTGTGACAGCTGTCATATCAGCATGCATTTAAAAAAAAAACTTAGAAAACTGGTGAATTTTTGTGCAGCCATTTTAATATTGAAGATGGAAGAAAATACTCAACATTTTCAGCATATTATGCTTCATTATTTCAAGAAAGGTAAAAACACAACTGAAACGCAAAAGAAAATTTGTGCAGTGTATGGAGAAGGTGCTGTGACTGATCAGAATGTGTCAAAAGTGGTTTGCAAAGTTTTGTGCTGGAGATTTCTCATTGGATGATGATGTATCGTGGTTGTGCAGACCAGCTGAAGTTGACAGTGATCAAATCGAGACATTGAGAATAACCAATGTTATACCATGTGGCAGAGAGCCAACATACTCAAAATATCCAAATCAATAAAGTTGTTGGTGAAATAGAAAAACGTGTCTTTTATTTTACAGAAAAAACTAAACGGACTTTTTGGCCAACCCAATGTAAGAGTACACATCAAGATATTTAGAAATAAGGTTAATATTTGTAAGGAGACTAGAAATCTTGGCTAGAAATACCATGTATAATGATGTGATATTATACTTTCCTGGTGTGGCAAAAGAAGCTGGGGTTAGCAAACCTCAGTTTGAACCCCAAATCACACCCTTTCTAGCTATGCTTATTTTATTTAACACTTACACAGTTCTCACTATGTGCCAAGCATTGTTCTAAGAACTACATAAATATGAACTAATTTTATTCTTGTAACAAAATTAGGAGATACAACCCCTACTTTACAAATGGGGAAACTGAGACATGGGGAGTGTAAATAACTTAGCCACATTGACACAGCTGGTGAGTGGCAGAGTTGAATTCAAACCCAGGTAGTCTGGCTCCCCTATTCTATGTGCTTCTCAGCTTCATCATTCTACCTCACTGTAAAGTTAGGACAAAAGAAAGTCTACTTTGCAGAGTTAAAAAATATATGCACAATGCACTTTGCATATTTCTGGCAGGTACTTAATAAATGATAGCTGTTATTTACTCATGCATTCAACAGTTATTGATGGAGCACTCACTTTGAGTCAGGCACTGTTTGGATGCTGGGATAAAGTGTTGAACAAGAGACAAAGTGACCTCATGAGGTTTCTTTTCTAATGTGAGGAGACTATAACACAAATATTAGGTAAATAAAATTTAGTCACAAAATAAATAAAACATGAAAGTTAGCTCAAGATAATCCTTTCTTTCATGGTTCATAATAAAATGATGTTCTTATGTTTTTAGTGTGCTGACTCTGTCTCCCCTCAAATCATCTTCACCTTCATTCTACTTTGGCTATTGAAAAGCACTGTCAGACCTGAATCTCACCACCACTTTAAACTCTTCTATTTCTAAGGTCTCCAACTCAGAAATTCCTTCTTATGACTTCGATTCTTCCAGCTATCTGACTGAACCTGCTCTCTGCCCTCACCGCAACTGCCATCTAATCCCCTTGATTCTTCCCCGTCTCCCCATATATCTACTGATTTGATCTGATTTCTGTTCTAGCCTGAACTAAACCATCAGCCCTGTCAACTATTTCAGCTGTCACCTCACTAGCACCTTTAGGTTCCTCACGCTTCTGACTGATCCTGAGTACATACAGGTTCCCCTTTCCTTGGTTCCATTATTCTGCCAAGAAAGGTTATAGAAGTTCATATAACAAAGGTGACTAATATTAATTCATATTCTTGCTAAGGGTCTTCACTGCTGTTATCAAATCTTTTAATTCTTTTCCTGGTTATTCCCTGGTATATTCTTCATAATAGCTATTGCTAATCTCTTCTACCCTGAGCTCTCTACTTCAGTCCCAATCAACAGATAATTATATCTCTTATCTTACTGAGAAGATTGAGGGCATCCAAAGTGAACTAGAAACTCCTATCTTTATCTTGAAATGCATTTATATCATCATCCATTCTTTTTTCCTTCTCTCTAGTCACTTAGTAACTATTCCTCTTGTTTTAAAGACTAATTCCACTACCAACATCCTTGCCTCTGCACCTTTGCTCCACCAGTTATATTTTCTCCATCATTTATCTCCTCGCAGTCCATTCTCCATGAAGAAGCCAAAGACTGTGTCTCCTCCCTCTTCCACACATTTGGAACCCTCCAATGGTTACCACGTAGTAATAATAAAATCCAAATTTCTTACCGTGGCCTACAACACAACAGTCTTCAAGAGAGGCAGTACACAACCCCATACACAAATATTTTGGAGGCATTTTTTTTTCAGTTGTCACAATTCTTACAGGGCTCTATACTGACATTATGTAGATAGGGGTCCAAGGTTCCTAAATGGACCTCATGATGTGTGGAAAAGTCCCACATAATGGTCCATTCTCCCTTATGCGGCAAGGCCTTCAACTGTCATACCAGATATCATGTAAGCAAAATATCTATTTTTAATTAGCTGATCCTAGAACTCTTTCCATTTTATATATAAACACAAAGTACTTTTTGCATGTTTTTACTTTATAATACATTTTTCTTGACTATAATGGAGAAGGGATAAGAAGAAGCTAGGAAAATTCCTTGGCAAGTGGAATGGGGAAACTGAGACAGCTGATTCAAACTGGCCTCAGCGATCACCCTGACTCACCTGCCTCCTCCCTCGCATGACCACCCCCTTCAGCACTAAGCCCTCAGGACAATGAGACTCTGATCAGCATCAAATAATCTTGGGAACAAAGCCTCAGGTCTGTTGACCAAAGTGTGTTTGGGTTAAACTAGAGATGACATCTAGGCCTCAGTTTTGTGTTCAGCTTCAGGCCCAGAAAAGCAGCAAAACCAGATGAAGCAATGCCATGACTGACCTCAGGACCAGATGCAATGACCTATAACCCCCTATCCTAGAGCCGGCCAATCAGTAGAGACCATACTCTGAATGGGCACACCTGGAAGGCTGATACCTAGTCTACTGAGATCCTCCCCTGAGACTTCCCCTAAAATTCCCACCTTTAGAGAAAACTAAAAACCCTTCAGACAAAGGACCCAGTCCACTCTCCCTGGAGCATGCCCACACCTGTCCCCCTTTCTTTCCTTACATGTGTATTTTTGTTTTCTTTCTCGTAAGGCCTAAAGGCTCTCAGGAGACTAACAACCAGGGAATCAGTGCGGAGCAGTAACTCATCCTGGGCTAACCCTCTGAACCTGTCTCCAAGGGCCCTTATTCTGCTTCTGTATTTTGTTTCCTGAGCCCACATAGTCCAGCTGGCTCACTTCTGCCTGTGTGACCTTCCTTCTAAAAGACCAAGGCAGCTCTCTGAGCAGCCTGCTCCATTCTTCTTGAGTGTACTTTTGCTCTGCTTGCTAAATAAACTTTCCTTTGTGCTAGAGTTCTTGGCTCTGAATTCTTTCTTTGCCAAACTCAAGAACTGAGAGCAGTCATCGCCATGAACATAACTACTGGGGAAAAAAAAACAAAACTGAAGAAATAAACTGCATTTTATTTTGCTCAAAGCTTGAGCCAGAGTTGGCCACCAAGGCCATAAGCTGAAGCATCAATACAATACACTTTTTTTGGTTTGCATTTACAGTTGTCACATTTATAATGCTTTTCTGTATTAAGCTGTGTCTGATCTTAGGATGTCTTCTAATGTTGTCATGAGTAAACTTTAACATATTGAAAAAGCTATTATTTATTGTATGTTATATTTCTTTCTTTTCTTCTTTGTATTTTAATTAGAGTATTGAGTGTTGGTATATGATTTATGCCTTTCATTTTGGTATATTAAAGAAAGTATTGTAAAACATTTGTTAAATTAAAGGGCAGCAGGTCTAACAACACTGAAACTCACTATCCAAAATGTTTTATCCCCTGGTTACCTTTTTGATTTCATCACTTACAACACCTTGTTTTGTTTCTTTCATGCCAGGTATTTCTGTATTTGCAAGAATGCAAACTAGCTTTCCTTATCATTCATGTCTTGGCTTAATTAACATGGCCTACAAACCAATGTATTTTAAATAAATCCCACCCCTCATCCTCTCCTTGTTACTCCATATCACATTGCCCTGTTTTATTTTCTTCATATCAATATCCAAAATTCTTATTTAAATTATTTTTACATGTCTCTTCCCATAGAACATAAGTTTCATAAGGGCAGGAACCTCAGCTACCTGCAATCATGCAATTATGATTCCTCTATCCAGAATAGTACTAGTCAGTAAGTGCTCATTAAACATGTTGAATAAATGAAAGCACCATTTGTTAGTCAAATATTTCAATGACAACATCTTGCAAGGCACTGGAGAGACAAGTAAAGCCACATACTGTGGTTGCTCTCAGGGGGTTAAGAATCTTGTTGGAAAACTCTAAATTTCAAAGCACCATATGAATCATCTGGGGCTTTTGTTAAAATGCAGCTTCTGCTTCAGTGGGTCAGCGAAGGGCTTGAAATTCTGCAATTTAACAAGCTCCCAGATGATGCCAATACTGCTGGCCCCGGTGCCACACTTTGAGTAACATTAGCAGGTTGTGAGATGACTAGCTAAAATGGATGCA